TTAGCAGCATTAGCAGCGTTAGCGGTGTTAGCAGCATTAGCAGCATTAGCAGCATTAGCGGTGTTAGCAGCATTAGCAGCATTAGCAGCATTAGCAGTTGCCATTGTCGTAGGATGATGATGTCGTTACAAGAGCCGAGCACAAACAGCTAAAAGTGTGTTTCATACTTAAATATGAACTTTAACATTTAGCCACATTTAAAGTTTAATTTTTACATTTAGAGTTAGAGCCATAAGGATTTAGTATTCGCATATAATATTTAACATAAATTTAGCATTAGGTAAAAACGAGTAAAATGTAAGAACAGTGAGGTAAATAATTATAATGTATTAGTGACAGCTGAACATTTTATTTTATACTTTTAAAGATTCTCTTTTAATTGACAGCAGATTTTTATTTCAGGTTATTCCTGAACTTTTAAACTGTTTAGGTTCACAGTTTGTCAGAGTGAGATTATTTTTATCACATCAAATAAAACTTGATGAAGCTCATTTTACCAAACAGTTTTTTTCAATAAATCAATGACATTTCTTTGTTCTATAATTCATACATATAACGTAAGTTTACTAATCATTGTTTCATGAATTTGTATTTAGAACTGATGATTTATACTTATCAGTGTTCAGATTAAATCTTTTTTATTGAATATCTTTCAGATGAATGAGTTGTGGATGATTTAATCCTGAACATGATGTGTTTGTCTTTTCCCAGAAGTGGCCCATGCGTTCCCTGCTCTACTGCGGCGCTGTTGGAGACATGCTGTCAGCCAATCAGATGCCTCCACCTGGTCACAATGGGACACGCCCTTTGACCTCAGATTAACAATGACAGCATGACTTAGTTTACTCCCAAAGTCAGTCAGTAGCTGTGAGAAAAAGGCAAAAATCTTCATCAGGCTGGGCTCAAAGCTGCCTAATCTGAGGCTTTTCCATGTTCTGACCCATGTCACTGCTGATTAGGTACTACAGTAATTATTATTAACTGTTTGACAGACCATCACTTCAAAATGACTGTTTTCTTTTATCATCAAGTTTCTGATGATTCTTGTATTTAAATATAAAGAACAAAAAGAAGTGAGGCCATGTTTCACCCTGTTTGTGTCTACGCTCTTTGAAACGAACTCATGACCCGACTGAACACAAATCATTGCTTCTTATTGTTTGCACGCAGATTTTTCTCAGCTTCTTGAATAGAAAACAAACTGAAATAGAGACACATCAGGGGTGGAGTTAGACTTTTTTGAAGGAGTGGCCGACGGAGACATACAAATAAATAAATGGACTCTGGAGGCCACCACGGCTAATTCTAACCAATTCAGCTATTTTAAGAAATATTGAGCTGAAGTTTTGTGAACACTGAAGATTAGTGTAGAAGCAGTGAAAAACAAGCTTTACCAAATTCTAAACGCTAAATAAAAATCCATGCATGGCAGTCCTGCCTCTGTCAGTGCAGCTGTGGCTGTAGCTTACTGTGAATATGTGTGCATGGCTGAATGATCATAGTGTAAAGCACTTTGTGGTCTCCATGGGGCTTGATAAAGTGCTATATACCGTATTTATTCAAGTATAATACGTAAAATTTAATCCGTAAAATCATCCATAAAGTTGGGGGGTAGTATTATACACGGATAAATATTTTTACTTATGTACTTATGTATTTTAACTTAAACTTCAGCAAAATTATTGAGTCCGGATAGGAGACGGCGTCGTAAAAATCAGTTGAAACGAGCTCACCTCTGACACTCCTCTGTGCTTCAGAGTGAGATAATAACAGATCCAGGCAGGAGACATGATGTGAAAAAAAGGGGTAAAAATCAGTCCTGCAGCTCAGTAATGATAACAAACTAATGACATTAGTGTGTGACCGAGCCGCTCCTCGAAAAACAACAACAAACACATGTTCTTCTGTAATGGCTGCCGTCTACTGGTGTTCTGAAAAAGTTTGTATCCCTGAAAAATGTTTCCCCACCAGAGGGGGCGCTCACGAGTAGGAAGTAATCTGCTTTTCCCCCACAAGATGGTCCAAATCTCATGTGAAGTCTCTGACTTTTGTGTTGGCGCCTCCTGGTGGACTGTTTTATGAAATATCAGACTAATAATATTTCATTCATTATCTACATTTATTAAAACAGGTTCGTAAAGGG